TTTAGTCATTGAATAAAAAACTTTCAATTTAGTTTGTTTAATGCAAATAATATTTATTAATTATTTTTTATTAACTCTAATAAATATTTAAATAATTTTAATTCAGTGCTTTCACATTTTTTCTATAAACAATAAGAGTAGTTAATTCGGCGCTTAATGCTTTAATTTATTTTTAATTTCCTACTCAAATTTTTTTTTATTCATTATTTTACTATTTTTATCCTTTTAACTACACAGTTTATGAAATATTTAATTGAAAAATTAAAAAAATTTTAAAAATGCTATTAAGTGCTCGACAGCATTTTTTTTCTAATGTTAATTGCAGAAAGTTTCCATTTGCATTTTAGTTTATGGAAAAGGAAAACATTGGAAAAACTGAAATGCAAAAATGAGGAAAAATAAAAAAGTAAAGTGGAAAATTGAAAAAACGATATAAGAAAGTAGAAAGAGTGAAAGAAAGAGATATAAGAAAGACAAAGAAAGAGTGAAATGTGTAAAATTTAATTAAAATTTTCTTCTTCTTTAAAATATACTAAAATTTATGAGGATTTGATATTTGTGTAAGGACATCAACACCATAATTATGTTATGCCAAATAAGTTGTAAGGAATCAGTTGAAAAGATTTTATTTTTATTACTCTCAATTAACTGCAAGGTTTCTTCAAAACCCGTAGAGAGGGTTTGACTGGATTATTGTTTATCTCTTCATCGGACTAAGCAATAATTGACTTCAAATCTGCATACCTCCCCGAAAAGCCTGTAACCATTCTAAGATTCGATAACGCGGTGTTGGTAAGCTTGTCAGTTTTCGTAAATAATTTCAAGACGCTATCCTAAATGTATTTTTTGATCGGATCAATCTTGAGATCCCTGAGCATGTCATTCGTCCTAATGTACATGATACCTTGAAAAGTCTTCTCAGAGCCTGGCTTTGTGTAATTTCTAGCTGGCGAATAGTAAATATTTTAATGTTACAGTATTTCAAAAATTGCAATATCACTTAACTTATAAAAATATTAATTACTATATTTTTCATTAAAGGTAACAACAAAAACATTAGTGAACAAATATCACAAATAAATGTTGAAAGAGCAGACAATTATTTTCACGTGGCTTCTTTACTATAGAGCAGACTAAGATATCTATGAGTCTAAAAAAAGGGTATTAGAGTCATTAATAATTTTTGCTATGAAATAAAAAGTGACATAAAATAATTTTAAAAAAATAATTTTAAAATTTTTTATTTCGTGCCTTATTGTTGTGAAAGCCATTTATTAAATTTATAACAATAACAGTTTTTTGCAATATAAGACTTGGCACAAAGTTCCTCTTAAGAAAAAGTTTTGATAGTTGCATTAAGGAAGTTTGTAGATGAAATTTCAAGTACCGAAATACTCTTGAAGTTGGAAAATACTCTTTTCTTTCTTTGTTGGAAAATTTTATTGTCATTTCTGTTCAAGTATTTAAAATAATGATAGAAAAAATTTAAAGCAAATATTTTAAATAAATAATACTGTCATATTGTCAGAAATAGTAATTGTTGAAAAAAAAAGCTTTAAATAATTTCTGACTATACTTGTTATATTTATTTATTTGTGTCTATAATAGGATATTAAAAGTATTTCGTATTATTTATTCAAATAATTTATGCTTAAAATTTAGCTCACTAATATCAAAACAAATCGCTAAACGAACAAATGGATAGATAGATAAATAAGTGAATGAGTAGAGGGTCAACGCTTTAACGATTGGTGATTTTGTTCATATGACTTCCAATATCTATCATACCAACTTACACAGCTATATAGTTACATCCAATAAAAACTTTGTACCTAATAGTATAAAGTGATTAAGTAGACTTCAATAAGTCATAATTAGTTATTCGCAAATATATTCGCAATATGTATATAAACATGTGAACCTAGTAGCATCTGAATTCCTGTCCTTTTATATTTAAATCCATGTTTATTTATTTTATTAATGCTTCTATCATGCAAGCCGAATGATACTCTATATAATGCAGATGAGATTGGAAATGAGAGAATGTATGTATTAATGAGATCACGTACCCAAAATCATCCAACAAAAGAAGTATCTTGATACAAGACAATCGAACTCTAACGACACATAATAGGGTTAAATGCCTATATAGATTACTTTAGTAGGTATATTTGCGAATCATAGAGTATCGACTTAGATAGAGATTTGAGATCTCATCAATACCAGGTCGTATTAAAGATCACTAATTTTTTTTTAAATGTGGTTTTAAGCTTGATCTTAGAGGAATTTGAAAACAGTCCCTATAAGATATCCTTCTCATACTATAAAGGAGGTTTTTTTAAAATTAACTGAAATAAATATATGCAAAGTATTGTAGAAATTTAAATAACAGCTTTTAAGCTTTTAATATATAACATGAAAAATATTTTAATAATCTTACATTCGTGATATTTATTTGTTATTTGCATTTAGATTTTTTATTAAGCTTCATATAACATATTTTAACGCCTGGTAGCATATTTTAATTTTAGTGGCACATTTATTTTCCGCTT